AAAAACAACTACTTTATTTTTCTTCTTTAATTCTTATACTGCTTATTTCCTCTTATCTTACTGTGTTGGCTAGGACTCCTAATATAATGTTGGGTATAAGCATAATGCTGCTTCTCTTTTGCCAGTAGTTAACTACTATACGAGTTACAGTCTACTCTTTCTTTTTATTTTAGGTATTTTGTAAAAAAACAAAAATCAAATCATATATCCAGCTTTTCATTCTGCCTATGTTATTCCTGTCCCACTTATCTCCATAAATACTGTCCATCTTCAAGACTCAGTTCAAATGCTGCCTTCCCTATGAAGCCTGTAGCACCTCCAGTGCCTTATTCCATAATTCATCATCACATTCCCTCTTCTACTCCAACTTACATTATAGGTTTTATACATATTTAATCTTCTGCATTCAGATACTAAGATTTTTGAGTCAGGATCAGCATCTATCGTTCTGTTTTGAATTTCCTTTTCTGCTACTAGCAAAATTCTCACTCCATCAATAGTAAATAAATAAATGAAAGAATAAATATATCTGGTACTAAACATCAAAAAGATCTACAACATATCAGGGGAGAAGCACAGAAAATGAAATACATCCTATTCCTTTTTCATAGCTTGCTGTCATTCATTTTTTAAAAAAAAAATGTGTGTGGCCATGGCATATAATTAATATTCTGAAACAAAGTAAGAATTTGACTACCACTGTGATTTTTGATTAATTAACTCTACTAGAACTTGTGACAGGATAGAAAGATAATACCAGCGCACCTCATGGGGACAACTAGGATGCACAAATAAATGGCATTCATCCCTGTTTAACAGAAAACTGAATCATCTGTCCAGCTTATGTTGCAGTCCACTTCAGGAGTGTTCTTTGGAGAAACATTTTTCAAGAAGTAAGCTGACTCCGATATTTGTAAATATGACATTTTGCTATTTCTGCCAGCTTTTTGACAATGTTTTTTTTTTTTTTAAACAAGAGGAGGAAATTTCTAATGGAAAATCTATTGTAGTGATTTCTAGCATTATTCAGCCTTTGAGATGTCCATAGTTATTTCATCCTAACTGTATTTATCTCTTTGGGATACGTAAGTTCTCAGCATCTAGACCAGTTGTCATAGAAAAATGGGACGTGTTTGGCATGAAAAGCAAGATGTCTTCTTTGAGAAGAAGTAGAACCCCTGGTTTTATACACCAGCCACAGGGCAGCTTTATTTAATAAATATCTTAAGTATGTAAATGTAAAATGTCCTACACGTGAGTTTCCAAGTGCTTCATTTATGCCATGTCTGTTTTTAGAAACTTCATCTCAACTTTCTTTCTCAAAATATACCTGCAGAGGTCTGCAGGTTTCTGCAGGCCCAGCATCTGCTCCTGGAGGCAAGGCTTCCAGCTTGCCCTGACTTTCAGGCTCTTTCTTCAGGCAAACACCTGGAGGCAATCATCTGCAGATGCCAGTCTGCAAACAGATGTATATGGGTAGGACAGAGCACTTTATGCCATTAGAACAGCTGGAGGAGAGGAAAATGAATGTGTTCTGCTTCCCTTTGTGTCATATAAAACTCCCTAAGTGCATTCTCACCTGGAACCCATTTTCCTTCTCTTCTGGTCTTGGCTTGTTTTGATAGAGAAAGAAACTTGCTTCACTCATCCTTCTGGGTTAAGAGGAAGTTTTGTCCTTCCTTGACATTAATCACCTTGGTGGAGAATGTGCAGCAAGCATTTGTGCATTGGCCTAAAATGCTCTCTTTTTCAGAAAGTGAGCTCCTTGAAGGGATTACCTTGGCTACTGTGACTACGCTACTGTATGGTGTCTAGTGTAAGTCTAAAGGCACCGTACATAGTAATCATTTCCAACTTATATGGCAAAATGTGGCTGAAAACAATATAAGCAGTTTTACCATTCCAAAAAAATACATCCTCAGCCCTGATTTATTGGTTATATTTAGTTTGGCAAAAGTACTGTCTAACTCGATATAATATTTGGAAACATTACACTGACTTGATTTTTATTAATCAAAGTTATATGTTGATCAGGGAAAG